GATGAAATAAGATGACTTCTTCCCTTTATGACCTTATATTTTAATATTCTAATAATAGAAGGTATGATATGTCCAGAAATAACTAATAAAAAGCAGCAGGTGAGGGAAAGCTAAGTAGTGCAGTGGATAGAGCTTTGGCCTTGGAGTCAGGAGGACCTGAGTTCAAATCCGGCCTCAGACACTTGCCACTTACTAGCTGTGTGACCCTGAGCAAGTTACTTAACCCCAGTTGCCTAAGCAAAAAAAAAAAAAAAAAAAAAAGAAAGAAAAAAGAAAAAGCAGTAGATGATAAGTGCAATGGGGGAAGAACAAATTATTTTCTATGTGTCAGGAATTATGATAATTACTTTATACTTTACAAATATTATCTCTTTTGCCCTTCACAACCACCCCATGATTTAGGTGATATTATTATCTCCATTTTACAGTTGAGGAAACTGAGGCAAACAAAGGTTAAGTGACTCGTCCAAAGTTGCATAGTTTAGTAAGTGTCTGAGACTGGATTTGAACACAGGTCTTCCTGACTCCAGGCCCACTATGTCATGTAGTTTCCTCTCTTTGGAGACATCCAAAGTGCTAAGACAATTTGAGGAGCGGCACTTTGTGCCATCATTCATATTTCTTTGCCTCAGTTTTTATCCTTCCAACCTGAGAGGATTGCTAGGATAAATAATAAATAAAATGTTTGTAAAACACTTTGTCATTCTCTAGCGCTTTTGAGGATTTTTTGAAAACAGAGATAATGATGTGCTTTCCTAAAATATTTGCACATTTGTAACTCCTCCTAATTACAGCCCAGGCAGGGGCTCCTGGTTTGGGCAAGAAACCAACTGTCTAATATAATTTGTACTATTTAACATTTTTAAAGTGAATTACCTTCTGGCGAATTGTCATCAGGAGAGTTAATGAAATATTACCAAAGTCTATTACAAGCAGGAAATAATCAGATGCCTTATGCCATTGATTCTTTTGCTTTTTAATCTTTAAGTTTACTATATGTTGACTTGATATATGCATAGAACCAGGGAATGAACAAGGCATGAACACAGCTACCATTGCTGATTTCTGCTGCCCAAATGTGAGTCAGAACTTGAGAGCTTTGGGGCTAATGAGGCTCTTGGCCACTTTTGGTGCCTCAATATGGAAGGACACTTTGAGGATTGATGAAGCTTTTATTTGTTATGAAGTCACCAACTGGTAACTGAGAAGATCAGATAACTTGATGGGCTTTTAAAAATGGAATAATTCTTTCATTTCCTTCTCTTTCTTTGAGCCTCCAGACAGCATCATGTAGTCCTGGGACTTCCCATGAGGGTTGGGAAGAAGGTTAGCTCATCCTGCTTCTCACTCTGGCTAATATGAGGCCATGAATTCATGACAGCTAAAGCCCATGTTCTGCCTAAGTGAGCCCGATCCTGGGTTTTAGGCTGTTTTGTTTGTTCTTTCCTGCTCTCAGGTGAAAAAGTAATGATCCTGAGATGGATGTAGCTAGGCTTGGCTGCTACCTTGTGAGTTTGACATATTCAGTGATTTTGGGTCCTTTGATTGATGCCGACTGGCAACAAGGGGTAGAGTCCCTGAAAATTATGCCATTTCTCTTGGAGAACATGGCCAATGATAGGAGGGTGAACCCATTTCTTATCTGGGAGCCAGATTCATCCTCTTGCCAGTGGTCATCTTCTCTAGGAGGGCTGGAGTAGTTGACCAAAACTTGACCTTAGCTTGACCAGAGCACGTAGGACCACTTAAGCTAACCTCTTGAACTCAACACAGCCATCTTAAAATCAATAAAGGAATGGCTTTCTTATTCACAAAATCACAGATCTTTAGATCTGAGTCACTAGAAGCAGCTAGGGGATTCATCAAGCCCCAGTTACCCAAGGAATGAGTCACACATGGTTAACAAGAATCAGGAATGGAAGCTCTGAGAATATTTTGTTCACATCATTCCTCCTAGCCCACATATATGTAGGTATGCATATATCTGTCTGTCTATCTATCTATCTATCTATCTATCTATCTATCTATCTATCTATCTATCTATCTCTCTATCTATCTATCTAACTACTAATCATCTATCTATCTATCTAGATAACTCACAAGGTAACCACCAAGCCTGAAATTCTTCCATCTCAGGATCATTCCTCTTTCACCTAAAATCAGGAAGAAACAAATACAAAATAATCAGCCCAAAAACCCAGGATCAGGCTCATTTAGGCAGGGCATAGGCTTTAGTTGTCATATGTTCATAGCCTCATGTTGTCCAAGGTGAGAAATAGGGTGAACTGCTCTTCCTCCTAACCTTTATGGGAAGTCTTAAGGCTCCTTGATGCTATCTGGAGGCTCAAAGAAAGAGAAGGCAAAGGAGGGAGTAATTTCCTTTTAAGATAGATTTGCTTTTATATAGATAGATAGATAAATAGATAGGCAGACATTTAGGTAGATAGTCAACACATTCACATAACATTGCTTGCAGTCGAAAATTTTTAAAGTTTTAGAAATTTTTATTCCTTTTTACCTTTTGTTTATAACTTAATATTTCAGATAGTTTTTGTCCACTTACTAGTTATGAGATCTTGTGCAAGTCTTCTTCCTTTCATGTACTATTACTATTCCTGGAACTTGCCCTATTCTTTTCTGTTTCTATGTTTATGATTATAATATCTCCCACGGGTGGTGTCATCTTTTCTTTTAACCCACCCAACCCTTCCTGCACCTTGCCTGCACTGCATGCCATACCCTACCCTCATGCTGAAATACTATACAACTTTCAAGACACAGCTCTAATGACCCTTCCTCCATGAATATTTTCCCCATCCCCACAGCTTCAAACTTGTTTTAAAAGTCACTTATGGCTTTTATACTTCTCCTAGGAACTTCTATTCTGTTATTACAGTGTCATCTCTACTAGTAGGCTATGAACTTGGGAACAATTAGTAATAGAATTGTACTCACACTTCCCTATGCCTATACTACCCTTTGTCCATCTCTATTCCTGCCAAATCTTGTTGCATATATATCATGTTTATTTTTGTTATAATTATTTATTATTTATTAGGCTGAATCTTTGAACCTTTTCCCAGGTCTAATATAGTGAGTATTCTCAACACTGTAGATATTAGATAAAAATTTGTTGAATTGAATTCTGGAATGTTAGAGTCAAAGGAACCTCAGATAAAATTTGAATGTTTTTTTTTTTTAAATCTTAAAACAATCATTGGGAAAATACTGGCAACTCTTGACTTTGTTATTGTTCAGTCATGTCTGACTCCTTGTGAGCTCATCTGGGGTTTTCTTGGCAAAGGGTTTGCCAATTCCTTTTCCAGCTCATTTTACAGATGAGGAAATTGATGCAAAGAGTGTTAAATGACTTGCCCAGGGTCACACAACTAGTAAGTATCTGAGGTCAGATTTGAACTGAGGAAGATGAGTCTTCCTGACTCCAGGCCCAGCACTCTATACACTGTACCACCCAGCTACCACAAGTCTTAACTGCTGCTGAGTTTTAACTGTGTTTTGCCTCAGATGAAGGAAGAATATGAGATAACCTCTGTCCCTGTGTTTCTGGTGAAGAGTAATTGAGGATTAAGTTTTGAAAAGTAAAATGAGCTATTGGCAGAATTAGTAGAATGCCTCTCTTCCAGTAGAATGTAAGCTTCCTAAAGGCAGGATTTGTTTTCATTTTTGCCTTTCTGTTCCCAGCACTTAGAATGATTCCTGGAACCATAAATGCTTAGTCAATGCTTGTTCTTCAATAGAGTTTAATTGAATTGAATATAGTCATAGTGTCATAGATTTAGAGCTGGAAGTGAGCTTAGAAGTCATCTAGTCCGATTCCCTCATTTCAAAGTTGAGGAAATTGTGGCCTACATAAGTTGACTTGACCAAGGTTGTGAAGCGAAATAAAGACTCTCAGGTCTCCTTACTTTTAAGCTTATGTCAATTTCATACTACAATACATTCTTATTTAAAGTGAAAAAAGGATTATAGTTGAAAAAATCGTCAGAATTGTGGCAATAAAGAATCTAATTAAACTTGATTTTAAGTTTTTTTGCATTTCATTTATTTAACTCATTATATTTTACATATACCAGCAGTAGTTTCCCTAACCAAAATATGTTAGAACATTGCTAACCATTGATTTTTTTTTATCACAAATATCATTGATAACATCTTCTTTAGGTCCTACTAACCTAGAGGAGAGGGTTGCACAAAATACTTAGAAAGTAAAGCAATAAAATAGTCTTCCTCCAAAACAATGACTTAAGTCTGCTCTTTTGGCATTAGGAGAGAATCCTCTTTAGAAGGATTCATTTAGAAGGATTTTTATAGGATAAAGAGCTATTAACATCATATTTCCTCAGTTTCAAAAAATTTTTAAAGAACAGAATCTTCTTTTGGGGTTAATGGCCAAATCCAGAAAAAAAATTCTTCCATTTTGGGGGGAAGATATTATTTTATTATGATAGAGGCACAAGAAAAGAGTTCTCTGAATTTCTGTTTTGGCTATTTTATTCCCTTCATGAATAAATACTATTTGCTGAAATAGATAATGATATTTGGCTAAAATGAATTGTGATGAAAAAGATGTATGTTATTGAAAAAACAGGGCACTGCAATTCACATATTTTGGTAAAGTCCAAGAATTCCTGCAAGGCATACAGACTAAACAAGTTGCTATTTCTTTTCAAAGACCAAAATGGATTTTTCAATTATTAAGGAAACAAAGTATATTACAAATTTTCAGCAGCTTCTGTTATTTTCTACTGTGATTTGGAAATTGTCAAATTTTTTTTTTATTATTACTTTAAAAAACCCAAAACAAATGTCCAATTAAAAATATTAGAATTGGGAATGCCTGAGAATTCCTTTACTGTGAACACGGTTCTTCTGATAGGAGAAAAAAAAAGAATTGACATTTCAATTTAGGTTGTCTTCTTTAGATATATACCTCTGTTGTCCTCACATTGAACAATGATGATTATGATTTATTTTCTCAGATGAAATTTTCAGAAAGTGATTATTTCGGCAATGTCCTGCAAACTCGCAAGTATTTAGCACAATCTGATTTCTTCTGGCTAAGAAAAGAAGTTCCAAAAACAGAGTGAGTAAAAAAAAATTTATATATATGTATTGTAACACACACATAAAATATGTAGATGTAGATTAAAATGGATAAATAGATGGGTGGGAAGAGACAGAAGAAAACAATGGCTAAAACTGTGACCTTTAAGACTGAAAATGTATGAGAGCAATTTTCACAGTACAGTAAAAGCTGAGTTGGTGATATTTTACCCGAAAGCTCCAGAACTAGCATTTTTGTTATTTTTGAAAAACCTTCTGGTTTAATAATCACATGCAACATTATTAACACATTTTGAAAGATTAAAAAGCAAATATTAAAGTTGTCTCTGATTTTAGCTAGGCAGAATCAACCAAGGGGGGAAAGTAAGATCTTTCTCCCAATCTGTCAAGTAAAAAGATTCAAAAGACCTTGAGAAATAATAAAAAAAAAAAATTAGAGAAATAAGAAATAAATAAATAAGGTTAGAGGTGATGCTGGAAAATAATAGAACATTGGAAAGGATTTATGAATTTCAAGGAAAAGATCAAGATGTTGTTAGAGTTACTTCCGATTGTAATGCCTTTCACTTTTCCATAGCTTCTACCCTCCTTGACCTCCATCACTTTGGAAAGTGGCAGAATATGTTACTTTCTGAATGGGTTGGACTAGATGTCTCCTGAGGTCCTTTATAAGTCAAAAATACTGTGATTTGGTGATAGAGGGGGTACCTAGATCAGAAGATCTTTTCCTCATGACCGGGCTGATTTCTCAGTTTTGATCACTAAGTGCTAAACTTATCCTTTAACATTCTATATCCATTCTTGCTACCACCATTGAGATCTGTCTGTCCCTCTCAATACTGATTGAATTTCCTGGTTTTTAGTCCCTAAATTATGTTTCTTACTACTGATCTCCCCCATTAGATTGTGAGCTCCTTGTGGACAGGACCTGTCTTTTGTTTCTTTTAGTATCCTCATCACTTAGCATATTGTCTGATCCATAGTAGGCACTTAATAAGTGTTGATTGATTGATTGATACCTTTGGACTCCAGGCCTTCTGTCCTGATTCTCTGGCTTCCAAATGTCAACTTAGGGTCCTTTAATCTTTGTCTTGCTCACCTACACCTAGATGTCTGCCTGTTTCTATTAGTTTTTCTGATATCTCTCAATATTGACAAACACATATGAAATAATTTTGCCTAGATCACATTGGGAACAGAATAAATTTAGAGGTTGAATAATTTTTCTCCCCTTAGTTCAAAACTGTAGTTTCTATAGATTGCAAGCAAAAAATTAGTTTCGTAAATTTTTGAAAAGTAGCAGATAAATGGATTAACAAACCTAACCTTTGCTAAAACTGGCCTCTTTTCCCCATTGTCCATCCTTGGTTCCTTCATTGCACTATCTCTGTCTTGGGTTGATTCCTTCTTTTCCTCCACCTTTACCCCACTAAAATAATCCAGAGGTAACTTCAGATTTACATTTCTATTAGTAATATTTCCATGCCTGATTAGGCTTAAAAACTGTGGTAGTTCTTGGTAGCTTGTAGTATTCCACCATAATATCTTAGAGAACCAAATCTTTTTGATTCACTAGGCATTTCCTTTGTCTAATATGCTAGATAAAAGAGCTTTTTACACAATTTAATTTCATTGCTTTTACAAATGAAAGCAATTTCTCATATAGTTAACCATACCTCCATATGGTAGAGAATAGATTTTACCTTAAGAATAATGGGTGAGGGTATATTGGTTATTAGCAGGTGTATTTGTGGTTACTTAGCATTTGATGATACGAAGACATAATTATATTCTGGAGGTGAAATTTTTTTTTTTAATTTGCCTCTTTCTTCAGAGCTTTTGTTTCTTATTTGCCTTTTGTGTATGTTTGATTCTTTCCTTCTGGCTTAGGAGGGTACACCAATGTTAAATAAGAGAAAACACTTTGCTCTGCTTCCTCCCAGATCCTCTGCTTGAAATGGGCCTATTTACTAGTTTAGACAGTGAATCCCTGATCCTGAGCAGACAGCCCTAGAATGCCATTCATTTCTGAGACATCTGTCTAGAACTGACATAGGTGAAGCCTGCAGAATCATTCTGTTTATAGAGGGAATGCCCTGGGGTATTGGTGGCTACCTCACTGTGACTGTGTATATTGGGTGTGGAGTTAGAAGGGATATCCAGGGTCTTTCCATCCCTGCAGTAAAGCCTTGAATGTTTACATGAACCAGTGTCCAATCCCAGAGGTCAGGGAATCAGGTACATCAGTTGTGCATTTTTAAGTGAAAAATAAACAGAAGTAGATTGAGAATGCTGAAGGGGGTTGCTTAATTATTTTTATCAATGGCTTGGTGTAAAAGGGGTGGAGAAAAGGAGGTTCGGATCAAGAGCTCTCCAGCCAACATAATGAGATTATAGTGGCCAACTTTCTTTTACATGCCAGAGAGATAGCTGATGTTCACTTAGTCAGGTGTTAAGACTTCCTTCTGTCCTATTGCTTCTAAACAATGGGTCACATCCCATAATGTTTTAAATTTTCAATAAAAATGATCAGTTTATTGGTGTGTGCATGTGAAGACTACAAAAACTGCTGAGGATGTCGTAATTTGAAGACGCTGATGAAATATGAGTTCCTAATATTCCTTAAATTATGATATAAACTTGAGTACATTTATACTTTTATTCAGAAATATATGAGTTTCCTTCTCTTCAAAATCGTGATAATACTACTTAAAATATCTGCTTCACAGTCTTCTTGGGGGTAAAGCACTATGCTAGCCACAAAGTGATTCACAGTGAGCTATTGTTATTTTAATTTAAATATTTTATTAAAAGCTTAATATTGAACAGGTAACTAAACTTGTTCTGTAGCTGAACTACTTTCTAGGCATAAAATATTGCTATTTTTTTTTACTAATTTTTTTGCAAATGCTACTTAGGATTCTTTGCCCCTTCAGGCTCATTGACTTTTCCTCTCATATGGTTATAGTGGGTACTCCATTTTTTAATTCTGCTTTTCTTTCCTTCTTTTTCATTTTGCATTATTTTATAAAGATCTGTCTAGATTTCTTTGTATTTCTGGTACTGATAGGTCTCATAGCATTCCATTATATTTTGGACCGGACTTGTAATTTAATCAGAATAGGGAACTTAGAGGGAGGAGCTTTCCTCCAAGGTACACCTGCAATTGTTCTACAACTTAGAGTAATCTTCAAGTGGCGCTGAAAAGTTGTAACTTGCTAGGGATACCAGTTAGTATGTGTCAGAGTCAGGATTTCATCCTAGGCTCTTCTTGACTCATGGGTTGATTCTCTAATATGCTATGCTATCTTTTCCTTCCGTTATGTTAATGTGTTGCAAATAATTTAGCCTTTCCCCTATTTTTGGACATTTAGATTAATTTTAGTTTTATTTTATTTTATTTCGCAATTACATAAAATGCTATTTTAAGATTCTTAGAAGAGATAACGTTTTGTCTTTTCTTTTTGGGGGGGGTGATTCAGTTGGGGTTAAGTGACTTGCCTAGGGTCAAACAGCTAGTGAGTGTCAAGTGTCTGAGGCCAGATTTGAACTCAAGTCCTCCTGACTCCAGGGCTGGTGTTCTATTCATTGTGCTACCCAGCTGCCCCTTTTGTCATTCTTGATAACACTTTCAGAGTATTTTTTCCACAATGGAATTATTGGGTAGTGATGATTATTTTTCATAATGTTCTTATGATTGTCTTTCTTCAAAAACTACAAAGCTGAGAACCAAAGGCAATTAACCTAAGTTTGACGACTCCTTGAAATGTGGTCATAATCAAATCACTTGATTTGCTTCAGGTTACTCATCTGTAAAATGGGATAAACACTGACTTGACCATGGTCTTAGGTGTATTGCTCTTATAAACAAGAACATTTTGTTCTGGGAGGGTCTGTATCTTAGAGCTCCACAATGATGTGGCTATATCCTGTTGTCTTAGAGATAGGCACATTCAGTGAAAGCAGCATTAGGTTGTTGGGGGCTTTCTCTGCACAGTAACCAGATAGTAGTGTAAAGTTTTTTTTTCTTCTGGATTTTACCAACTGTTACCTTTTCGGAGGCATTGCATGGGGTTTTAGCTTTATGATGTCCATTGACTTTGATAGGCATTTTAGGGCTTTGAAAATGCTTGAGTTAATTGAGTGGGGATGATTCTGAAGTATCTCCTCTATAGCAGTTTACTTTGAACAGTAGATCATGATTCTATACTTCCTTTAACCCAACATGAATGCTTGTAAAGCACTGAAATAACATTTTGCTTCTTTGTGGGCATGGGAGATAAACACCCTTCATCTTTCATTCTCTTGGAATCCATTTTAGCTGCACTAATGTGCATTGAAGAGGTCGCTCACACAGTAGGAAATGTCAGCAAGAATGAAATTAATTGGCAGGTTATCCCTGAAAGATATACATTTAGGGTCCCATCTTCCAAATTGTCACATTACCAGCAGGCTTAAAAATAAAGGATTTACCCCATTGCTCAGCATGTCAGAATGTAATTTCTCTCCCTCATCTCATCATTTCCATTTTCAGCAATTACTTTAGAGCAGTTTCCCTATTAACTCATTCTCACTTCTAGTATAACAAAACATTTTTGGACTCAATTCCTTTACCCTTTAAAATATGGCTACAAATAGATAAAATCCCCATGTAAAAGAATCTTTTCATTTTCTTGAGTTTTCACTTATTTGGTATTATATTCTCTCACACACTATATGAAAAATAGATTACAATGTATTTGTTGCTGGCATGTTGGTCAGGAAATTTTTTAGGAACAATAATTAAAGCTGTTTGCATTTGTGAAAAACCTTACAGTTTTAAAACAAAGCCCTTTATTTGTGTCTTCAGGGGTGTGGGGTGGACACTTCAATATAGGCTCAAGGTTAAGTCTAAGGCTATTGGTTCATGGATTCCCCAGTGTCCTCTATTGTTCCTTTATGGTAAACAGTTACTCAGCATGCAATAAAAATCAGCTTATCTTTATCTGGAGACAAAACACATTATATAAATACATACAG